TCATGACGTGTTACTAGCGTCACGTGACTTCCGCTATCGTAAGATACCAATAAAACAGTTTCACTTGCTTACTAACTTTTCTCGTGTGTACAGCACCTTTTCTCTATTTCTTCATTGAACGATAAACTGAATATTTATAAAACATAACCAGCTGATTAACAAACTTGATAACTCAGTAATCAGTCTTCCACTGTAAGAGACTCACAAATTCTATCAATAATTGTTTTATCATGACTCATACTTTTATACTGCTCAAATCAGAATTGAACGATATAAATGTCTAAATTAAAAAAAAAGTATAATCTATAAAAAATAAAGTATTCAAAATAAATAGAACTCAAAGTAAACTGGAATGCAACTGATTATACAGTTTATAAAACTCAGAATGATCATGAAAGAAAATTACAGTAGCTGGATGTTATTGCACCATCAAAACTCTAACATATTATAGCCGAATAAAGATAAAGTGAGAAATATATTACTAGATTTAATCACTTGGCAACTGAAGATTGAAAATACAATATTAAAACATTTACAAATCCAAATTAGTCTCGTTTGAAAGCATATTATCCTCAAAAAAAGGAAGAATAATGCAAACCAAAATGTAAATGTTACAATATATATAGTGTGCTTCTAGAGAAATGACAGAAGGTTATCAAGGCTCTCGAAAGATCGATGGCTTTTGGCATGTTCTTTTGGAAAGTCCCTTCTAGCTTTGTTCCTTTCTCAAGAGATATGTTGCCTGTTTCTAGAAGTGGCAGTTCTCCACATGGAGTTGTTAATTTTCCAAAATGATGCGTTTTACTTCAGTATTTGATCTTCATCAGAAACAAGGCCTCAGTCCATTCTGCTTTCTTAGCCTGACAATATCTGATAGCAGTCCACAACCTGTTAGGGGAAATCGTCTACAGAGCTAATGAGGAAATTTCTTCTGGAGGAGGACTTCTACAATCATTGGTTAGGATCCTTTGAGGGTTTGTCCTTCCTTCTTTTGCTCCATGATAGTCATTTAAAGGTGTGGGAACATAGTACACGGATTAGAAAGCTTGTGTTCATCTTTTAGGTGCCTTAATACATCTCCTTGTCTGGTGGTACTGGTACTGCATCTATTGATTAGGCTACAACATTCTGTTGTTTGTTACTACCACCTTTATTTCGATAGGAAATGGCAGGCATTGGTGAGGTTTTACACATTTCTCCTGATAATGCTAGCCACTGGTTCTAAAATTGGAATGGAAAATTAGTGAACTGTAACTTGCAGATCCACAGCCCCTGTTGCTGCAGACTACAGAGGGTCCTCTTTGATGAATTCAGATGCCTTAAGGTTCAGCTCTTTCGCATATGTTAATGGAAAGGCACTTAGAGCTTCCAGTTCAGTTAGACGATCATCTTCCATTGTGTTTCAATGGTGAGCATGCTCGTTTTCTCATTGTTTAAATCTCAAGAACAAATAACCAGTGGTCAAATGATAAACGGTTGACATCTTTTACTTTTTCAAATAAAACTGTTTAGTAGTTAGACTTTCGTTCTATTTTCATTACATTTATAACAATTTAAAAAAAATCTGTGATCATGCGTGATGACAGTACCTGTCTTGGATGTGTGTTGTTCAGCTTATTGTGTTAATAACCCCGATGTATATTTCTTATATTTGTGATTATGCAGGCAGTTATGTAAAGTAGCATTATTCACGTTCTATAGTTTATTATGGTGTTATCGAAAATAGTATAGGAGGTCGATACACCAGAGAGAAGCATGGTGTTGATCATATACATACATTTTTTGTGCTATAGTGACCTATTTGTTCTGTGGATATTGTATTTATGTTATGGTCAGGTGAAAAGTGCCTGATAACCGATGGTCTGTGTATGTTCATAACTGTAGAAGTAACTCAACATCGTCCTTGCTGGAAAAATGTGGAAAAATCATTTCATGCAGAGATAGTTTCTACGACAAAAGTTGCCTATCTTATCCTTTTTGATACATTGTTTTGTTTAATGTGAAATTGTTCTGAACTTAAACAAGTCTCATGGTATCTTTGGCTCATCAGTGTACAGTTTGAGATTCGTCTCAAAAGTTCTTTATGATCCAAAACAATAGTTTTTACTTGATCTAAAATTTGACCAATATTGATATCCACAAACTGAGTTTGACATCAGGATAAGTTTTACTTTCAAGAAGATCATGAATTAAAATTCACAATGAACTAATCTTTGATACACTTTGTATAAACTTTTCATAAACTTATTAAAATCACAGGTTATTGATATTTATTCAGTAATATCTGCATCAGAAATGTTGCAGGGGTGAAACATTTAGAGTGAAACATTAATTGTGAAAGCAAATACTAGAAAGCCCCATCAAGAAAAAATAAAAACTCTACCCCACTTACTTTTTAATGGACAATAGACATTTATACAGATGCGAAATGGGGAAAGGACGTCATTTTTACTCAGTGTATTTGTATGAGTCTGTTGTTATAGAACAGAAGAACAAGCACTAGCCATAGCCAACTAGCACCTTTGGCTTTGACGTCAAGTAGGCTTAGAATGCATGAGCCAGGTAGTCTTCAAATTGAAGCACTAGTTGTATTTATCAGCTGGATTTGCAATTCTGTCAGATAAAAACAATATTTATACATGGAGTGTCCAACTGATAAGAAAACACATTGATCCACAATATGGGAAATCTTAGGTGGAACTACTGAATCATGAAACTTAAACTTTTCTGTGCTCAGCTGCAGAGTGGGTGGATAGTTAAGAGCTTATTGAGGTCCTCCAATATTTTATCAATCTTTCAGGAAGTAGTCTGACAGAAGTACCACCATTTTTTTTTATCCAGCTGCCACCATCATCAACATCATTGAGACTCATAAAGGAATGAAATGCATTCTAGCCACTGACCAACATCTTAAATGAACTTGATCTTCCTACAGTGAAGTACTGGTGCAGATTCTGCCAGTCTTAAGCTGCATTGATCATTATTTTTTGGAAGGAAGATAGGCAAAGAACATACGACCAAGAAGTGA